AAAAAAAAAAAAAAAAAAAAAAAAAAAAAAAAAAAAAAAAAAAAAAAAAAAAAATCATTTTCATAAGCTTGTTGGCAGCAGTGACACCAGCAGTTTGAAACAGTTCTAGTGGGTCGAATTTGGCTATTCCACCTTTAATTTGTTCCATAAAATCAGCTGTTTTAAATCCTCCTATGGAATAGAAGTTGTGTAGAGTTAGTTCTTGATAAGTTTAATCATTCATAATTTAAAATTATTATGTTAGTATTGAAACTAATTGAATTTGTTATTTTGTAGGTACTTCGGAGTCGATGCACAAGCAAAATAAGCAAAGTTGTTGAGCAGAATTAAGGTGCATGAGTATGAGCATGTTTTGTTATTCCTAGTTCCTTTCCAATTTTAATTTTGCCTCAAACTTCATATGAACACAAATTCTATTAACCTTTTAAGTTTGGTTGTTATCTTCTCCATATGTATTTTGGTTGTTTGGCTGATATAAATTATAATTGAATAAAATTCAGAATATTGGTTTTGCACACAATTTTGAGAGAGCGACAGATTTGAGTCAATAATATTGGAATGATATGAAAAATGAGATTTTTTTTTTTTATATATATATAAAAATCATATGCTGATGTCATTTTAGTATTTATCATAAAAATACTTTTTTCTATTTACAGTTCGATAAAAATATCATTTTGTGTTTGTTACAAATATGAAGTGTTGTAAACTAAATTTATTTTTTATTTTTTAATTTGATCATGTTCATTATGCAATCTTTATTGTATGTCTTTGTGAGAGTTTGATAATGATCTATAATTCATTATAAATGTGAACATGTCTAATGATTAAACTTTATGTTCATACTGATTAAATTTATACTTCAAAGCAATTTATATAGTATGAATTTTTAATCATAAATTTATCTTATAGTTACTAAAAATACCATATTTAATATTAAGAAACAATTATGCTTAATAACATCTTAATTCTCTCACGGTACTAGATGAAATTTTTTAGTATCGCAATGAGCAGAAATCTCACTTACTAGCCTAAACGACAAGCAAATACTCGGACATGAGAGCAAGGGATCACCCAAGGAATGGACGAGCTCCAAGGAGGGAGGCAAGAACCATGCTTTCAGAGACCTAATCCAACCAATCTTATCTGAATTGCGAGAATAATTGACTAAGCCATGCCAACATATAGAAACTATTCTGCATCGTCAATTATTTTTCATAAAGGTAGTGAATTTATATTAACTATCCAAGTGATCATATTTATTTTCTAAAAAAAATTGTTAATCAAACTACTTTAATCTATTGTTTTCTTCGTATAAAGATATTTAAAAAATTGTTCTCATAAACTTATTTTCTTGAACTTTGAAATACTGGATAATTTCTAAATCACTTGCAACTGATCTCAATTTCAGTTATGTCTAGAAAATCGCTTACAATCGATGCATAATACCGAACAATTTCGTGGGTGTTATCGGGCCTAATCAGTAACACCCACGAACCATCCGGACTTTAGTTATGGCTTAAAAATTGCTTACAATCGATCTACTCATCTCGAGAATATTTTCAAATATTTAGATAAGAGATTGAAAATGAATTTAGTGATAGGAGGGAAGAAAAGTAAGCAGAGAAGTCTTGAATTTTCTGTGAAATTCCTCCGTTGATGTGATGATAATTAAGTTGTAGAAGACTCGCCGTTTCAAAGTCGTTTGTTTGGTCAAAGTCATCAGTCTCTTGCATTTTTGTTTTTGAAAAGGTCTCAACGGACAAAGCACACGCCTAGATTTTAACTTTTTTTTTTTTTTTTTTATTGATTTAAAAGTTTTAAATATTTTTAAAAAAATTTAAAATATATTTTTATTAATAGTTTTGAGTGGAAATTGTTAATAATTTGTTAAAAATATCATTGAAATTTTTTAAAAAATTTATTAGTACCCGACATTTAAAAAAAATTACAAAATATCGTTGTTTGATATTATATTTAAAACATGCCCATTAAATTTTAAAAGTAACATTAATATCATTAACATTTATAAAAAAAATGATTAAAAAAATTTATACTGTCAATGTATGACATAAACCGTTTTATCGACTGCTCATAGATTACCTCCAAACTTTTTAATTCTATTTTTGAAAATTCATGACAGTCGATACCTATCAACTTTTACCCTTGAATAATACGTGAGACATAAACTTAATAGACCAAATTAAAATTTTAATTTTTTTAAGTATAATAATTAAATAGACACAATAACTTATAATTTGATTTCTAATTTTTTTTATGTTTTTATTAGATTATTTAATTAATTTAATTAATGGATTTTGAGTTTACGTCATCTATGAAACAAACAAACAAGAACATTACATTATTAGATTCATTTTTTTAAAAATAAATAAATGATTGTTTTGATAACTTTGTTGATGGAATAAACTTGTTGATATTATTTTATTTAAAAGTGCTCTACGTGTTAAAAAGTAGTCAACAATAAACTTTTAAAATTACACATTTTTAAAACCTTTCTTTAAATAATAAAAGGATAAGATAACGTTCATACCTTTTTAATAGACCAAAGTATTAGCTATCATTCGATTATACTCATTTTAATATTATTAGATATCCGATTCTTGAATTTAGGATATTTACCATTATGTTGTTCTTGAACTCGAATCTCTACAATTTAAATGTCGGGTTTTGAAAATTGAGAAATATCGAAAATAAAAGGAAAGGCCATAAGTGACAACGCTTGAGCGATGACTTTGTGGGCGTAGACTACACTTGACCAATACTAAACTTGAATGTGAACAGTTAAAATGTCGGGTTTGAAAATTGAGAGATAGCGAAAATAAAAGAGAAGAGTCGAGCGATGACTTTGTGGTCTATGTTAAAATGTCGGGTTTGAAAACGGAGAGAGAGGGAAAATGAAAGGAAAGGCCCAAGTGGGAAGAGTGGAGAGATGAGTTTGTGGGCGTGGACTAGGATAAGTTCATGAACCGTGGCCACCAAGGAAGCTCAATACTCCTTTCCTTCTCTGTTTCCTCTCAAATTCAAAACGTTCACATTGGATTGCTCTTCTTATTAAATCCACACCCTCCAACCTTTTCAACTCATTCTTCTTCTTCTTCTTCTTCTTCTTCTTCTTCTTCTTCTTCTTCTTCTTCTTCTTCTTCTTCTTCTTCTTCAACAGTTGAAATTCTCAGATCCAACTCAGAATGATTGTGAGTTTCGCTTGTGCTCTGTTTTACTGATTCCTCTGTTTTCATTTGAACGAACAGAGCAATTTTGTGTGTGCAGAAAGTGGTGTTGAAATTGGACTTACACGATGACAGAGGGAAGCAAAAGGCCTTGAAAGCAGTCTCCTCCCTTCAAGGTAATCGATTACGATTGCATTTGTTTCTTCTTCTTGTTCTTCTTCTTCTTCTTCTTTGAGAGATGAACTGATTCTGGAGATTACTCTGTTTCGTCTTGCAGGGGTTGAATCGATCTCCATGGATATGAAGGACAATAAGCTGACAGTAATTGGGGATGTAGACCCAGTTGGTGTGATTGCGAAGCTCCGAAAGCATTGGCCCAACGCCGATATCTTAACCGTCGGTCCGGCGAAGGAAGAGAAGCCAGCAGCACCGGCAGCACCACCAGCACCGCCGAAGACCCCAGATGAACTGAATGAAGAGATCCTTAAATGGTACCAAAAAAATGGTTATCCCTCCTATGCTCCTTATTACCGTGTGTATAGTGTAGAGGAGAATCCTAATTCTTGTGTCATATCTTGAATGGATCAATAAACGTTTTGCAGACTGAATATCGTCCCAATTTAAGTTGTCTCATACCTTTTGGTTGAATCATTTCTCGATCAACTTTTGAATGATAAGAAGTATACGGATTAAACTACCTAAGTTTGAAAGTATTGTCACAAAAGGCCATCTATACGATGAAGAAGAACAAGGACGGACACGTTTCAAGACGATTTTGGTGGATACGACATTAAAATATTGCATGACTCGCCTATATAAACAAACTTAAATTAATACAATAATCCAAACATTTGAAGATTTTGACTATCTTACGACATTAAAATATTGCATGACTCGCCTAAATAAATGAACTTAAATTAATACAATAGTTTAGACATTTGAAGATTTTGACTATCTTGATTCATTACAAATAAGATCAGACTAAAAAGGAACAAAGTCAATATTGCTATGGCTTATTGAGACTTGTTACTTCTAGTCAAGTCGGAGAAGGGAGAAATCCCGTTCGTTTCTTCAATCACATAGAAATAGGAAATGGAAGGCTGAAATACCAAAAACTATGGTAATAGAGTGTAACAAGCCAAACCCCTTGCTAACAAATATTGTTCTTTGAACTTTTCCTTCCAAACTTTCCCTCAAGGTTTAAAACCGTGAGGCTAACAGCAATATTTAACGGGTCGAAGCGGACAATATCTGCTAGCGATAGTCTTGGGCTGTTACACAGAGGCATGATCTACTAAATGGTAAGCCCATGATTCAAGTCAACTATTTTTTATAAAGTCAACAATTAAACTAAATATTTTGAAGTTCAAGAACAGAAACAAAACAAATTTGAAAACTCAATAACCAATATAGATCAAACTCGAAAATTTAGAGACAAAATAGTTACAATACTTGAACCAAGTTTATGATATTGAGAACAATATGCAGTGGCTGAGTTTAGGACAATCTTAGTAGGAGTAAAATCTATATACAGCATTTAAATGTCGGGGCCGACCTGTTTGTTCTTCAGTGAGCAGGCAATTCGCTTGCATTATACAGGACACATCTTTCACAACGTACAACAGATTCTACATTGTTGGAAGAAAATGTCCGCCTAACCTCAATTTGAAGCGTTGGTAGTAGATGATGCTCTTGGTTGCTTGCTTCCATGCTCCGGCACGGGATGTTCAGCTGCAGGTCTCTTTGTTCTTGACTGCCATTACAAAGATTAGGGAAAAGTCCACAAGGAATGTGTGAGTGCTCTCACAACCTCACCCCATATATACATTGTTTTTCATATCAAAGCATACTAACCTTCTCTTCTGTAAGCTGATAAATGTGGCGTATGAGTATATTTTTGGCATCAGTATCTATAACTGCAGTAAAAATCAATGACATGGTATCAACAACCAAGATCTTTTGTGAATATGATAGCAGTTTGCTGATCAAGATTCAAAGTTATCAGTATGGTTGGTAAAATCATGGCCTTAGAAGAGCAATGAAGAAACAAATGTTCTTGCTTACCCTGATCTGGTGGCGGAAGGGTCCTACTGTGGGTAGGATGATAGGTTGCAGGAATCATCTTCTACATAAAATTAAAACCGACTTATCAGAGAAGTTCGATAATCAACTTGTTTGTTACGTTAGAAAATAAATGAATTCATCTTCTTGTTCTACTTCTTGCAGCTGGAAACTCCACTTGTAAAAATATGTTGCATTCTACTGCAGTTTAAGCTTCAATGAAAGCATTTAGTTTGAACCAGACAGCTCTTCCGTTTACATGGTCACCCAATCCATGGAAAATTAACAGGTGACGACGACCCGTGAAGTATGCTCATTTGTAATGAATTCAAAAAAGGGCGATATATCCAAAGCAAGCACAAGTTTGTGCATACAATTACAAGGAAAAATTGGTTATATCTTGCTTCAATGTGTCTTATGTCCAAAATGATGTTCCTTCGGAGAAGGGCACACCGTTTGGTAGCTTAGATGAGATGTTTTCAGAATCTCTTCAATCAAAAACTTCTCATTAACGGTTCTAGATTTGTCAATCCTTCTGCATTAAGGCATTATCTTAATGTTTCCATTGAAGGTAGAAAGACAAAAGGCAAAACACAAAGGTGGTGTATCAGCCCAAGCCCACTGCTAGCAGATATTGTCCTCTTTGTACTTTATCTTTCGGGTTTTCCCTCAAGGTTTTCAAAATGCATCTTCCAGAAAGAGGTTTCCACACCCTTATAAAGAATGCTTAGTTCTCCTCCCCAATCGATATAGGATCTCACAAGTGGCTTCTAAGAAGCATTGATTGAACGACTTCAAACATTATGCAAACTATTTCATTGGGAGTCTTAAGCTTAAACCTGTGAAAGTGAACTGTATACCACTCAAGAAAATCAGAGAAACAAGGAACACAGAATGTTCATTTGCAGTATAGAAGAATCCGTGTCGCTGCAATTTTGGATTTTTCGTTGTAAAACAATGAACCTAAGCATACTCAAACAAAGAGGGAACTTAAAATGGCTGCAGGCTGCTCCAAGCTCAAAGGCTAAAAGCACTTTTGGGCATCAGAATCATTAGAAACTTGAAAGATGACCTACATATGAGAAGTAAACAGAATCATTTCTCTGAAAGGTCAGTAACTTAGTTATTGTTCCTTGCAGAATTTGTTCCCATGGTATCATTTCTTTCAAAGGAACCGAATCATTTCTTTCACAGGACTGACTTTACAAGATTAAAATGCTATGACAGAGTGAAAAAAAGAGGTAACAATCGAAACAAGAACACCATTTTGATTCTTTGGTTTCGGGGGAAAAGGGGGAGCCATCTATGTGCAAGAAATGGACAATCCATAGAATGTTACAACCCCTTGCCGTTTAATAGAAAACTAATGAACTTCATTAGATTCTTCCTTCTTCAGGTTTCTGAATCAAACACACCAACAGCGAAACTCAATTGTAATGTAATCGAAACATACATGTAAGAATTCCAAGAATTTAAGAATTTCCAAGTCCTAAAACGAAAACAAAATTTCCCACATCACGACGCTCAACCAGAAAACAGATCAATAATGCGAACAAAAATTGGGAGAATCCAAATAACAATAGAGCAAAGAAGATCAAGCGAAGGTTCAATTTCATCACAAATTCACATCCTACCTTAACGAAACAACACCTCGAGCAAATTCGCATCAATAGAAGCGAAACAACAATCATCACAAATAGAGGAAAAAACACAGGATCAAGAAAACAAAAGAAACGTATGAACGATTACAGAAATCAATTACAAGAACGAAAACAAAGGGGGCGATGATTCCGCCATTACTGAAAACTTACAGAAGGAGTTGAAGGATCGGAGGGTCGGAGTTGGCTGAAGTTGTGAGGGTCATATGACGGCAGGTCACCGAGCATAGACCCCATCAAAACGCCGCTGAATATATTTTGATTGTTCGAAATCTACAGAGGGAAATTTGTGTTACAAGAACGAGGAGGAGGAGGAGGAGGAGGAGGAGGAGGAGGAAGCAGAGAAGTGGTTTTTGTAGAAGCGATTCATTAGGAATCACAGCGCCATTGGATTAACAACCAGTGGATTTTCGGTGAATCATAATTTTATACCCACCCCCCAAGTAATTTTAATTTAAATATTTCTCCAAAATTATATTATATTATATTTTATTTTATTTTCAATAATTATATGTGCTTTTTAATGTTTCTGTTTATTCTTTTTTCAAGGCGTTAATAATTGTTGGAATCATTTATTGATAATTATTACTGGTCAAATTACAAATTTGCCCTTATGGACATAATTTTAGTTTTATCGGTTTTAATTATATATATTTATTTATTTATTTATTTATTTATATTATATATACATAGTAAAAAGATTGTGTTAAATTTGAAATTTTTAGAAATTTTGTTAATAAAATATTATATTATATTTTTATTTATAAAATACTATTAGACTTATTATTATTATTTTTAATAAAAATGGAAATTACCTATTAAAAATATTTTTTGAAATGAATATTTTAAAAAGATTTCCTATCGGGAACTTAATCCTTGCAAATTTCTTGTCTTGAACCCTGTAAAAATAAAAAATTTTACCGAAATGAGAACTGAAATAGGTGGCGAGGACGGAAACAAAGACGGGAAAAGCTCTCCATCCCGTCTAACCTTATATGCTTAGTTTCGAGGATAGTTGTAATGAACGGTGAAATTATTAGCCATATTTGCAAAATATGTCACACAAATATACCTAAATTTTTAAAAATTTACCAATCTTATAACTAATATGACATTTATATAGTTTATCGGTGATAAAATAAACTATACCAATGTTTTATCCGTGATAGACATTTATCATTGACAGACCATCTTTTATATTTATCATAGATAGAGTATTTCTACGTCTATCACTTATTGACCATTTTTATGTCTATCGTTAATGAACCATTTTTATGTCTAATAACCACGTATAATTACTATTTTCACTTGTGATAGCTTTTTATTATAGAAATAAATTTTAAATATCGATGTACCATCATAAATAATTTTGATATAATATTAGTGATAGATTTAATAACGATCAAGCATGCAAGCAATTAATGATAGATACCTATCATTGATATACCTGATAGACCTCAATCAGTGATAAAGATTAAAATTGTGATAAATTAATTAATAAAAATATCCATAAATTTTGTAATTTGATTGAAAAATACATTTAAACTTTTAAAAATTTTGTTTTAAATGGAAATGTTTAGTATTTTGAAGTTTTTAAAAATAATTTATCTTTTTAGTTTCACGACTTAACATAAAAGGTAGCATATATATGCATAATTTTTAATAATAAAATATAAAAAATCAAATAATTATCGAATAGAACCTTAAAAATAAAATAAAAGATGATTGATATTGTATACTTGTTAAGTCGATATCGTAAAGACGAAGATTCAAACGGCCACCCTTTTAGTTGAAGTTACAACTCAACTAGTTAAGATATACTTGTGCTTTCCCTCAAGATTTTTAAAACACGTGGTAGAAAGAGGTTTCTATACCTTTATAAAAAAACATTTCGTTCTCCTCCCCAACCGATGCGGGATCTCACAATCCACCCCCCCCTTCAGGTCCTAATGTCCTCGTTAGCACTTGTTACCTTCTCCCATTGATGTAGGACCTCCCAATCCACCCCCCTTATGGGCTCAACATCTTTGTTGGCACATCGCCTCATGTCCACCCTCCTTTGGGGTTCAGTCTTCTCGTTGGTACATCGTCTAGTGTTTGGCTCTTATATTATTTATGGCAGCCTAAGCCCAACGTTAGCAGATATTGTCCTTTTTGGACTTTTCTTTTCAGAATTTCCCTCCAGGTTTTTAAAACGCATTTGCTAGGGAGAGGTTTCCACACCCTTATAAATATTGTTTCGTTCTCCTCCCCAACTGATGTGAGACCTCAGAGTGAACTCTAAACCGAAAATATAATAATAAATAATCAAGGACAATCTCTTTCTATTCTTTAAATCTGTCAAAAATGCAGGTAAACAAACAAGAAAAGACAGAAAACAACGATATCTAATAGATACATGGCTTCCATCCTTCAAAAATGTAAAGCCTGCAAGTAGAAAAAAGAAGCAAATGGTAATGCAAACAAATGTCTATTGAGACTAGCAAGCAAAAGGAATATGAGTCTGGAAAGTAACAATTTAAAGGCTTATAAGGGCAAAGAAAAACATATAGATTTCAAGTAGCTTTCCAAGTGACTGGGATTATAAATTTCAACTAAGCCTTCTAGTTGGAGTTACATTTTCATTGGGCAACTATTCAAGCACAGCATCTCCAGGACCCAATTTCCTTGTTCAGAAACCATTAATTTCTATCATGAGTTCAGAGCCTAAAGCTGTTTACAATGATGGGGTGGAGGAAGATAAGCCCATTTAGAACAAGCTACAAAGAACAGATGGTATAAAACAACGGCAGCTAGTTACAAGGAAACCTTTGCAGTGGACAAAATTGGGGATGGGATATTGAATATGAACACTCCAGTCAGAAAATATCTAAAAAGGAGGTTTGGGAAACGGAAGAGCACCTGTAATCCAGAGCAAGAAATTCCTCGACATCTAATATTATGTTCTTGGAACGACTGTGTCGAATCCATTGGACCTTTGGGCGTGCGTGGATGGAGCATTGGATTGAGTAGTAGTCAAGTTTGATGGAGGTCGAGTAGACTGTACAGGTTGAGTTGGCTGGATAATTACACCATAAGCATCAGAATAGGCTCGACCGGAAAGACTGCCACGCATTCGACCTATGGGCTGTCGGTTCTGCTCTACTGATGGATCCAGTAAATCAGAAGCCATGGTAACAGATTGAGTCATTCCTCCTACATTTCTCAGATCCCCAGCTGGTCTCCTAAGCCCATCAGGAGTAGTTTGGAGAGGATGGGGAGATCTGGAAGTTTGGTTTTGTAATGACATGGCTGAAGATTGTCTCATCATTTCAGCTCGCTGGGAAGCAACCATCATTCTAGCATGTTGATTATGAGGAGTCACTGCTGGATAAGCAGATCCACCATATCCACCTCCTACTTGACTCGTAGGTCTCGAGAATGGCAAAGATGGCCGAACACTGCTTGGATTCTGATTCCGGAGATGGGATATCCTCAAATTGAGAGATTGCTGAAGGTGAGGATTCTGGAAATCCGTTAATATCCCCGCAGATGGCCTCTGAGCAGTTGATGCTCGAACAGACTGGCCAGGGGTGAAGGAACGATCTTGAGGTTCCCGATTCTAGGAGTTAAAAGTAGAAAAATCAAAGGTTATAAAAGTTAACACTACCAAAAGTCAAGAAAACCATGGAAACAAAAGAAAATAGCACCTGCACGATTGGTGGGCGGAGAAATGGAGCTAGGTTTGTTGCATGATGTAAATCTCCATGATGTCTCGGAAATGGCTGTCTCCTTTCTGAATCACGAGATATCGTATTTAAACCATCTCTGCTAATCGGAATACTCTGTCCAACTTGAGGAGCAGAGGAAATGGTTGAAGTTCTTGAACTATACTGCTGGCCTGATGTTTGGGACTGAGCAGGAAGGACTTGACCTGCAAGCGTCCTGCTTACAGGTCTTGCTATTGATGTCATCCTACCATACTGATTACTTTCGTTTGAATTCGAAACTTGAACCTGCACATTATTTTGATCATAGAATGCAGGAAATGGAAAGTTGACCTGGCCTGGAACCCCAACATCATGATTAAGAACAGGTGATACAGCATCAGTCAAGCCAGCTGATTGCGTAAGACCAGCAAAACTAGGTGCAGCTGTGCTACTACCCATTGGAGCATCTGACCTGATACTTGAGATCAAAAGCCTATCAGTGACCATTCCAGACCAAAAGTCATCGTCCAAGGCAGCAGAAAAATTTTGATTCAAGCTATTCCTGTTCATTCCAGATAATATATTTAAACTTGAAGAAACCGGTTGGTTTTTATTACCAAGACAAGGTTTCCTGTCTTCAGTCTCCAAATTGCAGATGTTCATATCATCATCAACTTCAGTAAGATCTAACACATCAGGAGGGGCAGTAGACTCTTGTTGTGCCCTTTCATTCTGTTGGTTAAGAGAATCATCCAATGGCCGACCATCCCCACAATCATTTTCAAGGATGGCCTTCCATGATCCATCTGCTGAGATAATTACTTCAGTAACGTTTTCAGCCACTTCTCTAATGACCTAACGGAAATACAACGAATTTATTGAATGGAAGAAAGCAATAAAAATTTGCAAATACCCAAGAAATTCAGAAAAGGTCGATCACTAAACTTGCCTTCAACATATTTTGATCAATACAGATATCCAAAAAGCAAATGTACTGATTACAATGTGGACATCGCCAGGATGGTCTTCTTGAATTTATGTCAATAAAGTTGTAGAAATCAAAGCACTGCAGCATACAAAAAAAACACTGATATCAAACCTAAAAAGAACTTTTAAGATATCATATAACATACAGTAAATTCCTATGAACTACAAGACAGTCTAAAAAAATAACTGAATAGGTACGCATGTATACAGTTGCCTAATTAAGTTAAGAACTGGCAGAAAATATTGCTGCCCCATTTTCTTGATGGAAAAACTAAGTATCTGGAAAAGAGTTGCAAAGATCATGCTATTGTTCAAGGTACAACAACACATTTCAGATGCCATGGCAGGGAACTCTCACCTGAAGATGTTTGCAAGAACGACCTTTCACAGGAACCTTGATTCGCGTATAGCTGTTTTATGGAGGACAGGATGAAACAATCACCATGTCAATAAGTGAGTTACATAAAAACTGAAAATTATCGTAAACTTCAAGTAGCAAGTAAACTAGTACTTTGTCAAACAGCAGATATGATAAAAAATTCTGAGCATACAACCAATGTAAAATTAATATTTTCCTTGAGAGGGGTGAGGGTGGAATTGGTTGATGGGGAGAGGAAAAAACATGTAAGCAGTAAACAAAATAATTAACTGTAAATCAAATCAAATCATGTCATTTATTAAAATCAAATATTGTATATCATTGTAAATATAGATCATAAAATATATTTAAGTTTCATT